TTTAACCCATAAGGCCAATGTTACCTTATAGGTTTAACTTTATGAAATAAATAATAACGAAGAAGATCTACAGAAATTAAAAAATAAAATTATAGTGTCTACTTTTTGGGGTGTGATATGACCAAAAGTTCTTCAGAATTAAAAAAACATGCACCAAATAAGAAAAATAGTTTGTATAACTTCTTTGAAAGTCAAAAATATACTAAATTTTTAATTAAAATGCTATATAGTAAAAACTTGATCATAGAAAAGTAGACAAGTAATAGACAGTGATGATTTCTTTTTAAAGTCACTAGTAATAATTAGTAGTTTAGAGGATATAATGAATAAACAAAACGGTCAAAAAGTAGACAACTGATCGATATAAACTAATAAAACAATTAGTGTCTACTTTTTCAAAAGTATGACAAATAAACAAATGTGATAGATAGAAAAACAGTTTGTATAACTATTTTGAAAGTTGAAAATTTATACTAAAAAATATATTAATGATTTTCTTTTTTTTAAATTACTACCTTATGGATTTAAATTTATGAAATAGATATAAAGTCAAAGATCTACAAAAGTAAAAAAAAATAAAAATATAGTGTCTACTTTTTGGGGGCATGATGCGACCAAAGCTCTTCAAAGCTTAAAAAATATGTACTGTAAAGAAAAAAAAGAGAGATTAATAGATCAAAAAATAAAAGATTGACAAAATTTACCTGAATTAGTAAAATTATCAAAAAAGAGATCATAGAAAAGTAGATAGCAGATAAATAGTAACAATTTCCTTATTAAGAATACTAATAGTTATTAATAAAGTAGAGGAGTATGATGAATAAACAAAGTAGTCAAAAAGTAAATAGCTGATTGATATAAAATAATAAATAATTAGTGTTTATTTTTTTAAAGGTATGTCAAATAAACAAAAAATAGTTATTATAGATTACTTGCAAGTAGACAGTCTAATTTTTTTAAAAAAAAAAAAATTTTAAAAAAAATAGATTAAAAAAAAGAGAAAAACAAATTAAAAAAAATTAGCTTAGAAAAAAAAAAAAACCTGTTTTATACTATTTTTACCTTTCTCTCCCTTTTTTCTTTCTTCTTTTTTTTTCTCTTTCTTTTTTTCTCTCTTCCTCTCTTTTTTTCTTCCTCTCTCTTTTTTTTTTTTTTTTTCTTTCTTCTTTCTTGCCTACCTAGTGAAGAGGGTATGATAGATAAAAATAATCGAATTTATAATATAATTTATTTAATGTACAATAATATCAAATTGATAAAAAATGATATTTAATATAATAAAAAATAGATTAAAAAAAAAAATTAAAGTAAATATAATAAATAAAAAATTTTTTGAGCTAAATAAAAAAATTTTTTATTTATACTATTTAAAATGAAAATTAATTAAGCTTGCCACATATACTTTAAAGTAATAAAATTATAATATATCTTTTATTAATTATATATATTTATAATACAATATAAATAAAAATTTCAAAGTAAACATAATAAATAAAAAAAATTTAGAATACATATAAAAAAAAATTTTTTAGAGTAGAATTTAATTATGTTATTAGTTTATTTTTTATTAATAAAACCATGTATTTTTTTAATTTTTGATTTCTTTTAGAAAGAGTTTCAATATTCTTTTCAAGTATGTATATTTTTTTTAAATAAAATATATAATTTTCTTTTAATTTTTTAAGTAAAATATTATGTTGTATACGTATATATTTAATTTTATTTCTTTCATATCTTGAACAATTAATAGAATTTTCACATCTTCTTTTTTTAATATAACAAGCTAAACATATGATTTTAGTTTTGTTTTTCTTTTTATTTTTTTTAATATAGTTTTTTTTTTTATTTTTTATGTATTATTTAATTAATTTATTTATATTGATTAAAGTAAAATTATTTATATAATAGATATTTTTTTTAAAAAAAATCAAAAAAAAATGAGATTACAATTTCATCATAATTGTGCAACTAGTTTTCATTGTATTCCTTGTAAAAACAAATTTAAATATAATAAAATATTATTACTAAAAGATAAAGAAGAACGAGAACTTGAATATCAAACAACTAGAGTTCCAAAATATTCTTTTTGTTTACAACAACATTGGCGTTGTAAAGAAAAAAAATGTATAAATTGTTGTGAATTAAATAAATGTAATTAAATAAAATGTAATTATTATATAACAAATGAAAAAGACTATATGTTCTTTACCTACAGAACAAACAGCATTTAATGAAATCAATGAGAATATATCATATATTTGTGGTCAATTTGAAGTTACTAGTTCTGGTAAACTTCATGCTCAAATGTATATACAATTTAATAAACGTCAAACTATAAAATCTATAAAAACTATTCTTAATGATAATACTGTTTCACTTGTAAAATTTCTTGCAGGTAATTCAGAGCAAAATAAAAATTATGCTATGAAAACTTATAATCGTTATAAAGTGTATTCTAAATGCCAATGTGATTATTTTGATTTATCATTAATATGTAAATATTGTGATATAAATTGTATTCGTTCATATACAAGATGGAGTGATGAATATTTATTATCTGATATAATTGGTCTATTTGAATTTGGAACTTATCGATTTTTAGAAGATTCTGATAATAATAATATATCTGAAGACATAAATGAATTACAATTAGATGATATGAAACGTATGATCGAAATTCATGAACAAGAACTTATCTATGAACAAGTAGTACTTGATAAAAATAAAATACTAGCTAATTGGTTTACAATACCAACAAATGCAGAAAAAGTTATTAATGATAAACAAAAATTTTTAAAAAAATACAAAGGAAAAAGATTTTGGCATCTACTTACATTCTATTATTATAAACCTAGTGGGGCAGAAAAATCTGAATGGTTTTTAGAATTATTTCATGATAAACTTTATGATAAACCAAAGAAGCAACAAACAAATAGTTCATATTGGAATAGATATATTGGACAGAAAATAGTTTTAATCAATAAATTTTACACAAAGATTGATTGGAATAAAATGATAAATTTATTAAATGATTCTTGTTTTGAAGTTGAACATAAATATGGGGAGTTTGAACCTTTTTTAGCTAAATATATTTGTTTAACAGCAACTAAACTACCTGAAGAAGCTTATAATTTCAGACAATATGGTGGAGAAGATGATAATAAAAAAGATTATAACCAATTCAAATGTAGACTTGATTATATAATCAGATTTGATGAAAAATGGAATGATGATCAGAAAAAAAAAACTACACAAATTATATTCGAAAAAGAAGATGAGGATAAATTTAGAAATATGTTATGGGATGTTAAATATCGTAATGGAGAAAATTCTATTGAAGAAATTATAGAAAAATTTAAAAAAATTAATATGAGAATTGAGAGAGAAGAAATTATTATTGGTAATAATGTTTATTGGTGTAAAAAATTTTCTGATTACAAGATTAAATATTTAAAAGATTATTCTAATGTGAACTAATTATTTACGTACAAAAAAAATAAAAAAAGAACAGCTAATATTTTAGAAGAATCTTCTAAAAAAAATAGAATTAGTTAATTTTTTATTTAAATGTTAGATTTTTTTTTATTTTATTTAAATATTAAACGATTTAATTTTTATACAACAAACTGGTAAAAAAATATATCTATATTCAAAAACTTTCAAAGAAAAAATATCTAATATTACTCTACACGAAGAATTATATGATGCTCAATTTGATTTGAGAGAAGAAAGAAGAATTCATCAAAATCAACAAGAAGAAATTCAATGATTAAATAAACAAATTAAAGAAATTGAAGACATTTTTATTGAATCCATTAAACGTCTTGAAAAAATTATCAAAGAAAAGGATATTATTATACAAGATACTGTTAACCAATATAAAAAAATTAGTCAAAATACTATTAGTTAGTATGAAGATAGATTAAATTTTTTTGCTAATTTTTTCAGACAAAGTTTTAATTATCCAAATGATTATTATTATATGAATTTTTTTCTATATAATAAAGTAGTTAATGATGAATTTATTTTTTAAACTGATGTTCTTAATGTTATTAATAATATTAATAATTGTGTTAATAATAATAGTAATAGATTTAGTGAATATAATTCTAATGATAGTGGTTATAATAGTTATGATGAATATGAAGAATTAATGCGAGATATTCATAAAGTTACTAGTGAAGATAGTTTTTAATTTAAAGATTTATTGTATTATTTATATTATTTTTTTATTATAAATAAATTA